GTTGACACAGGTCTTACGTGCTTGCGTATTCTTCTTGTTCGTTCTTTCTTTTTTTTTTGGTACTGGGGATCGAACTCGGGTCCTTGCGCTTTCGAGGCAGGTGGCGGAACCACTGAGCTAAATCCCTGGCCAGCTTGTGTGTTTTTAAAGCACAGAAATAATAAAGCAGAACTTGCTTACATTTCTCCCCTGTCTTGGGGAAACCGTGTGTGTGTGTCACAGGGGCCGGCCACCTCGTGTCTTTAGGTGCTGAACTTCTTAAACTGGCAGGGAAGCCTTTCTTCCCTTCCCATTTTAACATCTCTGAATTTAATTTGCATCCCAAACCAATGAATATGTGCAATAGACTTCATGAAAGTGTTTATTGTTTACCACTTGGCTGTTATCAGAGTGGCAAATGTATCGTATAGTGGGTGACGCTTTCCAGGTAAATATAGTAGGTGAGTATTTGAAACTACATCACTTTGCCTCTTTTTGTAAACTGCAGGGGCGGTTTGCTTCGTATCTAATACTCTTTGTCACAAGAAGCAAATCAGAGGTCTGGAGACACACGCGCTGCTGCCCTTCGTTACCAGAGAGGCCTCTGCTCTCCTCTGGCTCCTTCTGCTTCCATCTATCATTCTTTTCCTTTCCTTCTTCAGCTCCTAGAGCCTCTCAGCCCTCAACTGAAGTCTTGCCCTTCTATTAGTTTCCTACTGCTCGTACAGCAGCACTGTAAGCTTCGTGGCTTAACCTAGCACAAATGTGTTATCTTACGGCTCTGCAGGTCAGAATGCCGAGCGATCTCGAGGGGCTAGGCTGAGGTGTTGGAGGCTGTGCTCCGACGTGGGGCCTCTAGGGAGGAGCCATTGCCTCGCTTTTCCTACCTTGGTGCTAGAGATCGACTCCCATCCCCTCCCACCTTCAAAGTCGACAGTGGCCAGTTGCGTTTCTCGGTGGCCTTCCTGGGACTCTTCTTCTTCCAGTTTGTTCACTTTTAAGGACCCTTGTCACAATGGGGCCACCAGGATAAATCAGAATAATTTCCCTAATTTCAAGATTGGCCCATTAGTAATTTTATTCCCAGCTGCAACCTCAGTTTCCCTGTGCTGGGCAGCTTCTCACAGACCCCAGGGAATAGGATGTGAACAAATCTGCAAGGGGTCTTTTGCTGGCACTGTCCTCTTTTTCAGTTCCTGCAGTCATCCTGAAAGCTCCATCTCTGCATGCAGAAAGATTTGTAGAAAGTCATTTGTTAGTAAAACTTGATCCAACCTGAACTATTTTGGTGGCAATATTTGATCTGAATTGATGTGACAGCATATAGTTTTTATTTATTGTACTTAGTAGGAATATCCACACATCTTCCTATAGAAACATTAATGTGTTTGGGTATTGGCTGCTTATCAAGGAGGAAAGAATATAGGATACAATATGAACACTGATTATATTTCTAAACTCTAAGAGATTCTGAATTTCAAAAGCTATCTGGCTCTATAAATTCAATAAGAAAATGCAATTCTGTTATCAAATCAGTTGTCTGACTCTATTATCGTAACTATGATAATAGTTATTAATTTTTGGACACATTTCAATGAACTTCTTACCTTGATTTACCTAAATTCAGTGCCCTAGAAGGAGAAAGGAGGAAGTAAAATCCACCCTCTTATACACGGTTACAATTTAGTTTAGGTACCTTGGGCCTGTCTGTACATCCTCAGGACATAGGCCCATTGGAACTCAGAATGAATGATTCTATGTGCAAAGACTCTTTCGCTCTGTGGTTTTTCTCCTCTCTTGTGTACACAAGCTCTGACAAAATTTTCAAATCTAACCTTTGATTTGACCTCATAAAGGCACACATGCGGATGCTTTGGTCGTGAGTGTGGCATTGTAGTGTACTCTGACTTGGTCATTTCTGTTTCCTTGGCTTCTCTGGAAGAAGTGTATGTGTTCAAGAAATAAGGTCAGTTTTAAAAACTAAAAGCCATGTAACTAGAATTTGGTAATATCTTTTCCATACATTCATTTTCTTTTATTCCACAGATTCAGCTGACATTCATTTACAGCCTCGTATAGCCCTGGCACATTCTAGCCATGGGGAATATAAAGGAGAATTAGACTCCATAGTTTGACAGTCTTTTTTTTTTTGGTACCGGGGATTGAACTTGGGTCCTTGTGGTTGTGGGGCAGGTGGTGGAACCACTGAGCTAAATCCCCAACCCCACAGTTTGACAATTTTATGAGACAAAGTAATGCACCAAAGTAGAGGAAATGACAAAGAAGGGCATCATATAGGAACAATAGAAGTATTTATTGGGTTTGGATAGAGCTTTTAATTTTTTTCAGCTAGTCAAACTGACGTATGCCTGAGGTTTTATGAATAGCAGGATAGATAGTTTCAGGTTCTTGCCATTTCTGTGGTCATAGAGTGAGATTTTACAAATCAGACTGCACAAGTCCAGTCAAACTCAATTCTGACAGTCACAAGGAGGGAAAAACAACAGGAAATCCTTAAAAGCTAAAGCTCTACATCTACCACATGGGCTGGGAGGGACATGTAGTGCTACTGTAATTTAAGGTGAGTTTATTTTGAAAGGATGTCCAAAATTACTGACAGAGCAGAAGTGATAGAGCGTGTTTCCCAACAGTGTTCATGCGTAGTGCATCCGCAGTAGTCACAGGACAACTACAGATGAACTGGGACCTACCAGCTGGAGTCCTGCTATGTTGGGACAGATGCCTCTGTTGCCTACTGCATGTCAGAACACCACAGAGCTATCCTTTACCCATTGCCTGGACACCCCAAACTGCTTTTATACTTCAAAGTTGTTTCCTGGTTGCTCTCAGTTGCACCATGAAGGCTGTATCCTTCCTGTTAGCTTTCTGGTAATGTTCTTTTTTAAACCAGTGCTGCAAGTCACTGATCCTTTGCATCTTTGCTCTCCTGCTATACAGTTAACTGTGCATGGCTGGGTCCTAACATTTCATGAACAATATTTTAGGAAAATAATTTAACCTGATACTTCCATCTGACCAGAAATCCATAAATGAGGCTATTCTCCTGGAGGAAGCATGAGTTTTTTCTTCAGTCTCCACATGGCTGACTTCATCTTCTGGTTCCTCAGAGTGTAGATCACAGGGTTCAGGACAGGGATGATGACCGTGAAGGTGATGAGACAGCTTTGTCCATGGGAGGGCGGTGAAGGGCCGGGCGTAGACGTAGATGCAGGGCACAAAGTGCAGGGTCACCACCGTGATGTGGGAGGTGCAGGTGGAGATGGCTCTCCTCCTGCCCTCGCCCGTGTGAGACCTCAGCATCATCAGGATGACCGTGTAGGACAGAAGCAGGAAGATAAACCACCCAGTAGTGACCAGGGCATTGTTGGAAATCATCAGGAGCTCGAGCATGAAGGTGTCCGTGCAGGCGAGTTTGAGGACCTGCGGAACATCACAGTAGAAAGTGTCAAGGACGTTGGGGCCACAGAAGGGGAGAGGGAGCAAGAGGGAAATCTGCATGATGGAGTGGACAAAGCCCCCCAGCCAGGAGGCCGCGATGAGGGCTAAGCAGCACCCCCTGCTCATGATGGTCACGTAGTGCAGGGGCCTGGAGATGGCCACGTACCGATCCAAGGCCATGACGGAGAGAGAAAACACATCTGCTCCCCCCAGCAGGTGGAAGAAGAACATCTGGGTGATGCATCCATTGAAGGAGATGGCCTTTTTCCAGGAAAGAAGGTCTATGAGGACGTTGGGAGCCGTGATGGAGGAGAAGCAGATGTCCAAGACAGAGAGATTGTGGAGCAGCAAGTACATGGGGGTGTGAAGGCAGGACTCACAGGTCACGGTCACCACGATGGCCACATTTGCCAACACAGTGCTCACGTAAACCAGAGATAAAAGGAAAAATAAGAGTAAGCTCACTTCTGGAGACTGGCTAAGTCCACAAAAAATAAATTCAGTTACCTTGGTATGATTTCTGAGGGCCATTGGATGCTATTTCTTCCTCCATGCACACCTTGAAGGGAATACTATTACTGAGACAATGACATCAAGCAAGGTTCATCTGTTCTACAGAAATTGACCACGCATACGAGTCTGCTTTTGTCACTGCACCAAGTTCTTCCTGAACTGGCTGCACTGCTTGGGAAAAATCACTCAGTTCTCCTTGCCTCAGTTTTCTCATCTGTATCAGCTGTGGGTTGGACTAGATCACTTGCTTTCTTACTGTACTCGGCGAGTGGCCATAGATTCTGTGAAAACTTACCTATAGATGCTGTCAAGGGAGGGGATCTTAGGGAAGTCTTTGTGCACGTCGTTCTGGGTTCTTCACACCTTCATGAATCAGAGAAGCTCTGATTTTATTCCCTTTCCATGTTGTTTCTATGGCTTAAGAGACATTGGACTGAATTAACGCTCATTTACAATGTGACAGGAATCCATTTAAACAGCGTATGATAACTTTAAAACGACTGTGTCCTTAAATACAATACATTCTCATAACGTCCCTCTGAGATTCAAGAGAAGATATTATTATTCCTGCATCAATAATACCAAAAACGAACACGAGACAACCAAGTTGATTTTCCAAGGACATAAAGAAAGGCAATGGCAGGGAAGATGAATTCCTCTGGCTTCTCATTCCGTGATAAATACTACAGTTCACTGCCTGCCTATTGCAGGACTCATAAGTTCAACAGCCATTGGCATAAGGAACTCTTCACAGATTTTCGCCAACCTCTCAACGGTAGGAGTCATTGTCCTTTCAAATTCCTCTCTCCAGGGCCAGGGATTTAGTTTAGTGGTTCTGCCGCCTGCCTTGCAAGCGCAAGGACCCGAGTTCGATCCCCGGTACCAAAAACAGAACAAATTCCTCTCTCCACCACTGTAGACTTTAGGGCAGTGGTGATTGTTACCTTTCACAAAATGTGTTCTGTAACCGGCACCTCTCCTCTTAGCTTTTTAAATTTCATTTTATGGACACTCCGGTGTTGGGATAATGACAGAGCTCGACACAAAGATGGTAAGAAATGCTTGTATTCATGAGGGTTAAGGCCCAAGCAGGCATGTAGGAGAAGGTGTGGGAAGCAAAGTCACCATGGTAATGCAATCAGTCAGGTAGGTGGATTTTCTTCTTCTCTCTTCTTATAAATATGGAGCAGTGGCTCAATGGAATACTACTTAGCTGTAAAGATGGATGAATTTGAGTCATCTGGAGGAAAACGAGTGCACCTTGAGACCACAATGCTAAAGTGACATGTTAGACTTAGAAGGTTAAGTGTCACATGGTTTTTCTTAGATGAGAAACAAAGTATAAATAATTTGAAGAGCCAAATAAAAAACAGATGACAGGAAACAGGGAAGTTGCCTTTGTTCAGATGGGAAGGGATCTGGAGGTGGAGACTGATGGAAGGCAGGAGAGAGGAAGGGGAAGTAAGAACGATCAGGGTGCGATATGCATATGTTCCAACTTCCCAGAATGAATGCACTGATTATTATTGCAAACATAAACTAATAAAAAGGGAAGATGTTAAGCAGTGTCTGTCCAGCTCAGGATTTGCATTTCCTGGCAGAATTCAGACCCAGACTCCCTTCAGCACAGGATGGAAAAAATGGCAGCCTCCCTCCCCTGTGGTTTGTAGCCTTCCTTGTTATGAAGTCTGGGTGGAGAGGCAGATCCACCAGGGAGAATTTGCACCTCAGCGGGCTTTTCCTGTCTGAGTTGGGAATGAATCATGTCTCGTTGCTTGAAGATCAATTCATGAAGAACATAGTTTCTGATGGGCTTGAGCGGCAGAGAAATCTGGGCAGCAAGCTAATGGCAGAGTCCAGCTTTGCCTTTCAGCCCAACGCATTTTCCATCTGTGTCACATCAGTACTTCCTGAGGAGACCTCTGATGGCCTCGTGACAGTGGTCAGAGGAAGAGCCAGCCTCAGCCAAGCATTGATTCCCTGGGGCCATCACAGAGACTGATAGCTCCCAGTTCAGTGCCCCGCTGAGGAGCAGCGTGCTCCAGCAGTGTATAAACACCTTGGGGAATTACATAGGCAAACCCATGGTGACTGCGAGAGGAACAATCCCTCTCACAGCACGTTGTGGCTATGAACCAAAAGTCTTCCATGAGCTGTCCATACCGCCAAGAACCAGGATATTGCACAAAATTAAATTTCTTGAGTATTCTATTTTCTTCGCTTCTCTCAATTTGTTCCATCTTCTTAATCCCCAGTTAAGCCTGTGTCCTCGCTCCTTAGATTATTGCAAGAGTTCCCTCAATGGTTTACTTCTGTTCAGTCTGCATTTCTCCAATTCCTCTCTCTGTTGTTTCCAGAGATAGCTCTATGTCAGCACTGGGCCCCATTATCCTTTTGTTTGAAAATCTTCAGTGGTTTCTATCACCCGCAGATCAAGGGCCAGGGTTGTTCTAAAGTGGGACCTAAGACTTCCCTCCATCTCAGACGTCATCCAGGGCCTGTTTCCTTTGATCCTCTGTTTCAGTGGCTCGGATCTCGCACAGATTGCTGGAAGTCTGTGCCTTAGGATCTGAATTCCTTTCGTTCCCTATGCCTCCCATGTCCTCCCCACTCAGTCTCCAGCCCATCTTCCTGGCAAACACCCACCTTCGACTCTCAGGTTTGAGTTGTCTTCCTCTGTGAGAATTTTGGTACTGGGGATTGAACGCGAGACCTTGTGCTTGCAAGGCAGGCAGTGGAACCACTGAGCTAAATCCCTGGCAAGAATTTTGTCTACTTAAATTTTTTGAAACTATTCTAGGTCCTTTGGTCCTTTAAAATCAGTTCAGCAATTTCCATCAAAATAACTGCTGGAATTTTGTCTGGGATTGAATTGAATCTATTGGCAAATTTGAGAAGAATTTTCTTCTTCACATTGTGGAGTCCTGCAAAGCATGGGCATGATCTCTCTCTCTCTCTCTCTCTCTCTCTCTCTCTCTGAAGGGGAGAGGGAGCAAGAGGGAAATCTGCACGATGGAGTGGACAAAGCCCCCCAGCCAGGAGGCCGCGATGAGGGCTGAGCAGCGCCCCCTGCTCATGATGGTCACGTAGTGCAGGGGCCTGGAGATGGCCACGTACCGATCCAAGGCCATGACGGAGAGAGAAAACACATCTGCTCCCCCCAGCAGGTGGAAGAAGAACATCTGGGTGATGCATCCATTGAAGGAGATGGCCTTTTTCCAGGAAAGAAGGTCTATGAGGACGTTGGGAGCCGTGATGGAGGAGAAGCAGATGTCCAAGACAGAGAGATTGTGGAGCAGCAAGTACATGGGGGTGTGGAGGTGAGAGTCACAGGTCACGGTCACCATGATGAGGAGGTTTCCCAGCAGGGTTGTGACGTACACCAGGAGCAGGAGGAGAAACAGGAGCCCGCTCGCGTCTGGATCCTGGGTTAGGCCAAGGAAGACAAACTCTCTTACCCCGGTGCAGTTTTCCATATCTGTGCAAGCATCCTCTCTTTTGCTGATTGTTTCAAAGCTGTGTCACATGAAAGCACTGGGCTAGGTATTTTCTGGTTCCCCTCAGCCTGTGGAATGCAGTTCAGATGGTCCCACTAGTGGCTTCAGTGTTTGCAACTTGTTGAGTGCCCACGGTTTTATGATTGCAATCAGTGTGGTGATTGAATTAAGTTATTACATGCATAATCATTCAATACTTATTTTATTATAGAACTATGTTGGAAAAGAAAATACATCAAGTATACTTTAAATATTTTAAAAGTATATGTTAAATCATTGAAATATATTAAGCATACTTCATAGCAAAGAATCTTTAAATGTTTTTATAACAGGTCTTTGTTTCTTCTTATAAAGAATTGATGCTGGTAAAAGTGAGCCCACTTTTCCAAGTCACAGCTGTAGGAAGCTGTGGAACTGAAGTTCAGATGTGATTCTGTGCAGTTCCCCAGTCTACATCCCAGTTGTTACAACATACAACCATTATTTAACAATGCAATGGACTGGAATTATTTCTTTACCTCAATTTTAGGATGATGGTGGCAGAAAACAATACCAGCAGATTTCCAGAAAAGCCTAGGTTCGGCATAGGTTCTCCTGACTCTCCTGCATTGTGCTGGAGCCTCAGGAAGATGTGCCACAGATGCTGGTGTCAGTAATGTGGAGCCGTCTCCCTGACTTAGACTTGATTACAATCCACCACTATGTTTACTAGTCAAGTAAGGGCACATTCATTTAGTCTGTGGTACCTTTGGTTTCAGCACATGTTCTGGTCCCTACAGTATGGTAGCATTTGGGCCAATGCTGGCAATATATACACAAGCACACTGAAGTTCTGAGTTTGAAACAGTTTTCAGTCTGATGGAAAATACAGATATTTAAATTGTTAAGCATGCATGAGATACAGTGCTGGCATAAATGGACCATAGTTCTATTGAGAGCTGGTTGGGGAAGGTTTCCCAGAGGGGGCAGAAGTTTCACTCATCCCTGATGAATTTCCAAGAAACAAGAAGCAAGACTGATTCACACAGAGGAGAACTCATATGGGTTCAGCAGGTGATAGTAATAGGATTGTACAGAGAGCCCTGGAATGCACTGGAATGCACCAGCACAGTGGAAGGGAGTGGGGGAAGAAAGGGTGTTTTTATTAGTGACAAGCAATTTCTTACCTCATCAATAAACATTTTTTGTTATGTTCAATAATTCTTAGGTATTGTCTGTTTGATAAATGATTGATCTAAGCCTACTGACCTCCTTGTTCTCATAGTCAGATCTATAAAATTAAAATATTTCTCCCTGGTGATGTGAGTAACATCCTTTGACTGTTTTCTGTCAGCTTTCATTCATGTATCTGGTATTATGTGGCAGGAAGTACTCTGGAACGTGATGATGGGAAAGTGGGACATTCTGGGTCTTGCTCGAGCAGGAGGGGGAGAGGAAATCATGACAGCTTTCTCCTAAGAGGTGGAAAAATCCATTTTAGAAGGTCTTATGATCATGGCATGACAATGTTATTATTACCACTGCTGGTTCCACCTCATACACAGCCAGCTAACCTAGCTGCAATCATCACATGTGTGTGGGTAAGTAGATTGAACTGGAGTGTGTTATGTTAGGTGATGTAGGCTAGACAGAGAAAGGAAAGCACTACATGTTCTCTGGGCTTGCACCTGAGAAACCCAAACTATGCGTAAAGACCGAAATAAAAGATAGGTAAGAGGAAGTAGGGAGATAGATCTTTCTCACATTGGGAGGGGATCAAGAGACAGATGGGGGGCAAGAGGGAGAGGCAGTGAAAAAAGAGAATTAAGATGTGCTATGAACACGTGCCAACCCTGCACAAAGAACGTGAATATTTTGTACCAGAAACATGGACTAGACAAAATTAGAAACCTGCCCGGATTGTAGAATTTTGATTAATAGAGATGAGGAGAGATGTGCGTGTGGGAGGATAGTGGATAAACTAGATTGGATTTGATCATTGCTCACTGTATGCCTATGTCACAGTGAACCTCACTAACATCTACAACTGGTACGAGTTAATAAAAATAAAAAGTAAAGGAATGAATTGGGCCATGCTGCTAAAGTGTTTAAATTCTAACAAATCTGGAAGATCTGTGTAAATTAAAAGATTAAGGCGGGCTGGGGATATACCTTAGTGGAAGAACACTTGCCCTGTATTCTTTTTTTTTTTGGTACCACGGATCGAACTCAGGTCCTTGCTCAGGCAGCAAAACCACTGAGCTAAATCTCCGGCCCTGCCCTGTATTCTTAAGGCCTGGAGTTCAATCCATGATACTGAAACAAAACAAAACAAAATAAAACAAAACCAGTTTAATGCATGATAAAAGTGAGTTACTTTGTGAGAGAAGTGGACATAGATTTGGGCATCACAGGAAATATGGTAGAAGATGGGATCACTTCTAGAAACAATAAAAGTTGTTATTGCTTTGAATCCTTTGCATGTGTGACATGCTATAGGAAGATGATTTTTAAAAATTCTTATCTCCACTCATCAGGTAATTGTGAATCCTGTTTTTCATGTTCATATAGCTATCTCTTTTGGTTATAAGGAACAATGTATAAAATAGATGGAAACAGAAAGGGACACAACCTTCCCATCCAATCTATGGAAGTTCAAATTTTGTGTTGCAAGACCATTTAAAAGTGTCTAACTGGGGATTTAGCTCAGTGGTTCCACCACCTGCCTTGTAAGTGCTAAGACCCAAGTTTGATCACTGATACCAAAAAAAAAAAAAAAAAGAAAAAGAAAAAGAAAAAAGTGTCTAACTGACAAAAGAATTTGATGGAGATCCTTCTTATAGACTTTAATCTCAAGCAGCCTCACTAGTAAGCAACGCAAAGGATTTAACAAATATGGTGACTGCTCTTGTACCCAAAGCACCACACTTATGCATCCTTCTTAACAAAACTGTCTTGCCAGTGTACGACTCCTACCTTTGTTGTGTTTTTCTTTGAGATGGTCATCTTGGCCCTGAAGCATTTAATATACCTGAAAAATATGCACATAGATAGTTACACATGCTCAGTAACAAGTCAATTTCACTATGCATCATCTTACCCTGTGCTACTAGTTTAATGACTTTACTTGCTTAATCTTGAAACCTGATTAAAAACCATACATTATTAAGTGCATTATTAACATACATTATTAACATCTGGTAACAGCTTCTGAAAATTTTGTTTCTGAGGGTATAGTTCCTTGGGGAGCGATACATCTCAGTAGCTTCCCTTGCTGCACCTCCAGGAAGGAAAGGCAGACTCCAGGGGTCACATCATCAAGTTCTCCCGTGATGTCTTCGTCTTATGTGCAAACCCATCAGTCCCAAACTTGGAGTGAGAGCAGCAAAGGGAGTGTTACTGAAGGGGAAAGAGGCTGAATCCGCTTTTGGCGATGCAGGTTTAGTCAGAAGGTCACCAGATGTCCAAGTACGTGCGTGCACACACACCTAAGGACACATTTGGGTTGGTGTCCAAAGTCTTCCGAGGCTGTGGAGGAGATGCGCCTGGCTTATACCTTCGCTCTTTCCAGTGTGCCCTGCCTGCCTCAGGTCCTAGTCCCTTGGCCCCAGGCCTATTATGAGAGACGAGAAGGGAGGTCAGGTGGCTAGTTCCACTGTGAGGATGGGGTTCCAGGGGGAGCTATTAACTTGTTGGTAAGACATGCACACACGCGTACACACACCAGACTCATTACGGAAATACAGCCACCTTTGGTCTAATGGCAAGAGACAAAATCTACTGGCAGGAGAGGAAGTCAATCCCGTCACCCACAGCTCAACCAGTTTTTTTTGAGACAGGGTCTCGCTATATATTTCAGGCTGGCCTCGAACTCACGGAAGTCCTCCTGCCTCAGCCCTCCGAGTGCTGGGATTACAGGTGTGTGCCACCATACCTGGCTCTCAACCAGTTTTTTCTTAAAACATGGGCCTAAAATCTTTCCAAGCTCCATTTTCAAGGTTCAAAAATTATAAAAAGTATATATTTGAAAGACAGCAACACCTTGGTTCACAAATGCCTCTGTTCACAATCAATTTGGTTCTCAAACAAAAGCTTTTGATGAAATTTTGCTTCCGTGCACAAACTCCACATGGGGTGACAAACACAACTGTGACATCTTCCCCACACAAACACAAACAGCCATTTTCCCCCCAAATCATAAAACAAATCAAGTTTGTGAACTGAAGTACCACTGTATATAAATATAAATATAGATAGAAATATAAATATAAACTTAAACATATGTGGTTATTCCTTGTTTAATGACCTACCCATTTAATGACTGTTCAGACCTACGACTGAGCCATGCCCTTTGAAATTATGCCCTGCTGCTTTGACTTATGACCTGCCTTTTTTCCTACGGTTCTGTACCTCTTGTTTATAGAGCCTCAGTGTCTTTTTTTACAGTACACCTTGTTTATAGAGTGCTCTAACTTTTGCTGACTGTACTGTACAGTACAGTACAGTACTGTAGTTTTATGTTCTGTTATCCATGACAGCACCACATGTAAGAGTGATGGAAATACATAAAAGCAAAGCCATCAAGTTGGAGTTTCCTGGTCATTTCTTTGGTGTAATGTCCAGTACATACTACACACAATTCCTCATTTAGTGACCGATTCATTTAATTACCTGGTCACAGGGACAGAGCCTGGTCATTAAATGGGGAATATCTATCTCTATATAACTGGATCTCAAACACTTTCATTTAATTATTCTTCATTTTCTGCCCAAGCAGAGTAGTTCTGATTCCCTCAGTCTCGGTGCCCGTGGAATTTATATGCTTCCTTCCAGACCATAAACTTTGAGAACTACATTTCAACCATTGAGTTTTCACTTCATTTCCTCTGTAGGCGGCTAGGTCACAGAGAGCATTCATTTATTGTTTAACTGAAAGATTGTTAGCTTTGAATGTGCCTGGATCCTCCGGGAACAAACCAGTGACCCTGGGCGGAGAGCTG